CTGAAACTGGCAACAGTTAAAAGTATTTGCTGTGATCTTCTTTGACCTACTCTACTAAGAATTTGCATGGATTTACTTCCCTCAGCACAGCAGTCTTGTGTCAACAATGTTGGGATGAACATATGGAATGAAGTTGACTTTCAGTAAACAGCCAAGAGTTCCATCAGGATGGCAGCAGACAGCCCCCTCTAAGCACATGAATTCACACAGTGAATTCATATCACTCCAAGAGTGGATTTTTTTATTTATTTTCCTTCATTAAAATTAACTGTACAGCTGAGCTGTGTTTGTTGTCCATAACAATTCATACTATATCACTTTCTTGTTTAGTTAAAACAACTGGCAGTAATAAAATAAGGGCAGGTGAACGCGTTACTATGGTCCCTGTTTATAGTGCAGAATTACAGGCATAGAAAGATCATAGAGGTATGAAGGTCACACTGCTTGCCAAGGAAATTTATATATTTTATCCATATTTATATATTTTTATATTATTCATATTTATATAATTTATATATTTTATCCATATTTTGGTGTTACTCAAATTGCTCTTTCTGATCATCCTTTGCTGGACATGCAAGGTAAACTTGCATGCAAAGTTTAAAGTAAAATTGTATTTTTCACTTTCTTTTTTCTAAATGTTAGGTGTCTAAACCAAAAGAAAAGAATTCTGAAGTCAAGAGATGTGGCAGATATGACCTCACTCAAGCTTCCTCAGAAATGATAAATCTGTCTGGCTTGTGATTTTGACTGCTACCTGTGATGCAGAGAGAAGAAAAGCACCAAGCGTTCTTACAGTTGCTAATTTATCATTAGCATAGTCTGCGTCTGGTTTTGGTCAGATATTAAGTAAAATAGCATTTTTGTAGTAACAGATTTAATTCCTCATGAAGTGAAAGTCCACTGTGCGACTATATAATCGTTGTTAATATAAGGAGTACTGCAGGTGCTAGAAAAGCTCAGCAATGAGAAGATGCTTTACCGGTAAATATGAAAATGAAGGGTCTTGTTTCCTCAGTCTGTCCAAAACAGCCTTTGTGGTGGCAGGTGTGCATTTCTTGGACGTATTTAATCTTATGTAGCACACATTTGGACTGCAATGTCGCAGCAGGCAGAAGCCAAGCCATGGATTTACCATTTTTTCCCCCTTCCCATTCACACAGAACATTACTGATTTCTACTGAGTCATTCACACTGGAAGCTGTCACTCAAGCCGAAAGAAGGAAGCAAGAGAAACTTTATTTTAATGAGATGTCATGCACAAATAGGAAGTGATTGACTTTTGGTATGTTAGTTATATTATTTAACAGAATACACTTATAATAAGAATATATTAGCAAAATATAATATAAGCAAAATCTCCCTCTAATTTTAGCATGCAATTTCTACCAATAAACTTTGGTCCGAGGAAAGTAACACAGTAAAGAAGTCTCTTTCTTTATCAGTTCTGCTTGAACATTCTGATAGCCAAGGATGCATGAAAATTCCCTTTGTTATAAATAGTATTTAATTTTTGTTTTCCCCAGGCTAGGGATATTGTACATCCTTTCTTCCTTTTCACGTAGTTATTGATCTGCCTTATCAGCATTACCTCAGTCATATTGGATGGAGTCAAAGAGACTTTCAGGAAGGAAAACCGTTCTCTAAATGAGGACAAGGAAGGAAAGTCTCTCACTTTCCTTCTTACTTTGCTTCATTCTCTTTCTTTCCAAAGAAAAGTTCAAAAAAGCCTTTCTCCTTGAAAAAAATTGTAGATTTTTCAGCAAGGAGACAAAATGGTCTGCTGCAGCGCTTGCCAAGAACAAGCAATTACCCAGCATTATCTTCTGCCAGAATGGACAACACAGACCCAGACGGACTTTCTGGTCTCTATAATAAAGATATAAATAAACTGTCTCTATAATAAAGATCATGTCAAAATGTTGATGAAAAAGGCCTAGATGCATTTTGTCGTTAATAATCTTGAAGGCTATAGGCAAAACCTAAATAATTAGCAAAAGAAATTTGACTGGTCTGCATGCAGCTAAACTTACATAGTGGCCCTGTAATCTCTAAGTCATTCCACGATTTGTAGAATATTCCATGCCCCTCTACCCCTTTTTTTAAGTGAATTTATGGAGCATCCATGCACGCATATCAATGTCATTGTTTTAAAAAGTTTATGTACAATCATGCTGAAATCAGCTGCTAAAGAATATGGCCAGTTTGGTTTTCTTTCCAAGTTTCCTACGAGTCATCCTATGAATCAAGTCTGTTTCCCAAAAGAGTTTAGACAGTTTGTCTTGATCTAATAAGATGGAAACCAATTCAGAAATAAGATACAATTCCCATCATCTCTGCAGACATATAGAAGCTAGCGGGTACAATGGAATGTGCCTTCAACTAGCTCAAAGACTGTTGATCAGCTATGCCTAGTAAATATTATAAAGCATAAAAAACACACTGCAAATACACAATATATATGCATTTTGGGAGGTGAACATGTCTATAAGTCTTTCATTCTTTGCCTGTCCTGTGCTGGGACCATAAAGAACTGGCATAAAGGATGGAAGGACGCAATAATAACTTCTCCTATTTCCACAGATGTCTATATCATGGCCATGAGCAATTGGCCAACACCAAAGAGGAGAGCTGATTAAAATCAAAATGGAAAGACAAAAGAAGGTAAAGTTAAAGTTCAGGCAGAGAATATGATTAAAGCACTGAATTTTAATTAAAGAGATATTAAAGTAAGTTTTCCACCCTTACTTTTTCACTTTGGGGAAAACAAAGGTTAGTTCTTTAAAACTCCGTCATTACTGTTGCTCTTATTGTTTCACTCAATAACACAAGTGTGAAGTGTAGAGGATGGGTGAAAGGGAAGTCTTGGAGGAAATTGTGGCAAGGCGTATTCCAGCTGGATACGGGGAAAAACAATCCTAACTGTGAAAGTGAAAAGCTTAATGGAAAATGACCCTAAGCAAATGGGTCTAGCTCTATTTTGGCCACCTTTGAGTTGAGATGACTGGATCAAACGTCCTTCAGAAGTCCTTTCCAACCTGTGTTAGTCTGTGGTTATATGAAAGGATATCTGTGTGGCTTGACAAAAGACAGTCTTGCATACTTCTGTTCAGGGTCACTAAAGTCAACTGACTTAGGAGGAAATCTGAGGAAAGACATGTTTAGTCAGATTAATTTTTGGCATGAAACTAAAAACTCATCAAACATTTTGGAGGAATGACTTCATGCGAGAGCTGTAAAAAGATCTTCATTTCCTCCTCTCCACTGTTCTAAGAATCTATATTAAAAAATATTTTGCCGAGACTTAGTCTTTATCAATAAAGAGAGAAAGGTATATAAAAAGGGTAAAATAAAATAAAATCTATTCTGTAACACGGAAAAAAAAGAGGTTATGCAACAATACACATCGGCAAAGTTAACTACATATTTGATGCTGTAGGCAAAGATAAGAGGGACTTTAAAAGCTGAGTCTTTGTTGTATAACTGAGCAAAATTATTTTCAAAGTATTACCAGCAAGCAGACATCTTAGATGACTTGTAATAAAACTAGTTCTTGAAAGAGAGCAAAGGCCAAGCTGAGTTGAATTAGAGCCACCACCATTTCTCTCGTGGTTCAGAAAAAGCCTTCCCTGCAGATTAATTTCTGCAATTGGAAGAATTCTTTTGAACATGACCACTGAAAGGGTTGTCTGCCAGAATACAGAAATAGAAACAGCTGGTTAGACTCCGGAAATTAAGGTCTTCAGGTTAGAGAGGAATCTTACAGTTGCCTCAAGATGCCTCTAGCACAAATTCTACAACTGATAAAAGACCGGCATAATCATATCTGAGCCAATTTTCCTAGCACTAGCCAGTACAGTGGGCAGATGAAATCGGAGATGATGTTTCAGGTCCAAATGAGATTTAACTGAAAAGCTGCAACATCATCCCTCTAAAGTAAAAATGAAATCTGAGAGTAGTAATGAATGACATTTCTGCTGGCTCTTTCCACGCTGGTAACTTTTGCCAAAACATACCTCTGGAACTGCAGTCAGAGCTATTTCAGCAAAAGCTGCTTCTGATTGCAACACACATAAGTAACTCTGCATTCCAGGCTGACTTAGACCCTACACGCTCTCACTAGGGGGTCAAGTAACTGATTTCGTGTGATTTCTGCTCTAGTTCTGAACATTAAATAAGATCAGACATGTTTTGAAGGGGCAGAAAAACATAGGCTGCATAATTAAACTCTGTGAAACTGGAACACATACGATTTGTACTCTGTTGCTATATCCGTCATTGGATGAGGCTTTGCGCAACCTGGTGTAGTGGAGGGTGTCCTCGCCCATGGCAGGGGGGCTGGAACTAGATGATCTTTGAGGTCTCTTCCAACTCAAACCATTCTATGATTCTATGACTCTATGATCCACTCCTTTTCCCTTTGCAGTACTTATTCCAGTTAAGTTTGTCTTAAGAGTAGAGATTTGCCTCCAGAGAAGAAACAAATAATTGAGAGGAAACCATGAAAAAGTTATCGGTTAGAGACTCACCCATCACTTGTAAAAAGATTTAAAGGTGTAAAGGTAGCTTCCTGAAACTCTGATTAATTGATAACTTCGCAGTTGGTTAGGCTGAATGCTATTTGGGGCAGGGGTCATATCTTTTCACTTTCTAGAAGCATCTGACACACAGTTACTGTTATCCAAAAAATAACCCTAACCATCACAGTGGTAACCAACCTGATATTCCCAGATGCTTCTTAAACAAGTGATTAGGTATATCAGAGAGGGAAACAATGTAAGCCAAAACAAAACCCTCAACACTCTGCCTTTTGTGATTGATTTTCTTGTGATTGCAGTGCCTTGCACATGCTGACCAGCCCTATCACTGGTAGGACCACTGGAGGTTGAGCGTGGCAGGGCACTACTCAGCAAGCGAAAAGGCCATAACCCCCTGTCCCAAACCCATTCAACCTTGCAGAAAAGAGACTACAGTGTGCGTTACGTAGGTTGGTTACTCACGGCTCAGCTTCGATGCTCTGGTCAGCAGCTATGTAGTTGGCAGGGATGTAGCCTTGGAGCTTAGAGCCAGGACGGACTGACCCTGTTGGCAGGAGGAGCCTAGCGTACCACCAGCCCTCATGGGACGCATCCAGCACTTCAATTTTATCCCCGGCTCGGAAGCTCAAGTCCTCCTCAGTGCGAGCCTCGTAGTCGAAGAGTGCCACAAACTTGCAAATATTCACCAGATGCTGGCCAGGCAGTGCAGGTAAAGGTTTCTCTTTTATCTTATTTTCTCTGTCTTTCTGTCTTGCTTGGAAGTCGTGCACCACGGCAGCATTGGCAAACACTTGGCCACCTTTCTCATCCTGCTCACCATCCCTCTCTGAGAATAAGCAAGGGATGTAGGGCTCCAAACAGGCACAGTGCTTCTGACAAAAGTTTCCCATCCTGTTTCCTTGTGCCTTCCTCTGCTTCTGCTTTTCTCTCGCTTTTCCCCGTTGCGATACCCTTAGACCAACTTTTGCACCATCAACATTTTAGCTTTTTGCAGGATTTCTTCTCCTCCTCCTCCTTTGGCACAAAATGAAACAGCTCTTGGCACAGCTGGAAGCTCCTCTCCAAGCTCCACTGAGAGCTCATTACAGGCGGCTCCTGGATCGGCAGTGAAACCTGAGTATCCAAGTGCTGGAGCACATGTGGAGGGAATTTCTCACTTCCTCTTTGGAACAGGAAAGCAACACAACAGCTGGCCTGGGCTGAGCTCCGGGAACAACAGGGGAGAGTGGAGCCTCTTCTCCCACAGCCAATGAAGTCAGAACATCTAAGGGGAGGAGGCTTCTCAGCTCTTACTGCTCAGGGTGGGTGATTTCTTATCTCAGATGAGGTCCTGTCGTATGATCACCGGTGAAAGTCTGTAAAGCCTGTCTTGGTAATGATTAACCAAGCTGACCTGCCTGTTTCCTTAGCAGTCTCTGACGTGGACAGCTTGAATACTTCTTTTCTGTTTCCTGATTCGCTCTGGTTTCAGTTCCTGGGAAAAAGCTTTGACTCACCCGAGGCCGGCAGACACCCTCACCTGGGGCACACCTGCAGCTTCTGTTCTCCTGAACACCTAGGCAATCTCCCCTGCTGAGCTCCCGCCCTTCAAACCACTCCTCTGGCTTTTTCTTTTTTTTTTTTTTTGAACTGGGTTTGGCATTTCTTACAAAAAAAATAAATATACAGGGCTTACGGTAATACAGTAATAGATTTTAATTCATTCCATATTCTGCATTTTAAGGAAACAAAAGCATTAGCCAAAAAATTGTTCGAGGTGGTCAGCTAATTAAACTAATCACATATAAAAACAATGGCTGCCTCCCAGTCACCAAGCAAGCTGATGAAACTAAGTTGATCAGTACATCCCCATTTCTAAAGCACCTATAACCTGGCATACAGACCGAGCATGGGTGTCAGGGTGCTGCTGTGGCAAAGCAGCCTGGAGTGGCACCTGCCACATCCCAGCAGCACAGCCTGAGCTTTATAACAGCTGGAAATCACCACAGCCTGGGGGCATGTAACATGTGGAGTGGGAGCAGGAAGCACAGGGGACAGGCTACCTGCACCACACGGTGGCATTTCAGTAGGAGGCAAACTCTTACAGATAAGAGGTCAATCAAAACTCACACATGGACCTGTAGCTTCCTTAGCTTCCTGGTGATAAAGCAAGCTGGCTCTTATCTTTTTTTTTTTTTTTTTTTTTTTTTTTTTGTCAGGAATAACTGCTGTTTTCCTAACCATGTCTCTCAGTTCCATTTAGAGTTGATTACTTCAGTCGCTTTGCTTTACTAGAAAGAAAACTCAGCTAAACAATTTAGAAACCAAAGCCACTTGTTTTCATCATGTCTCTCAGTCAGTCCTTTGAATGAAGAGAACAGCGGCACAGGCATAAGCCTGCTGATGGACTAGGGACTATGGGATGCCTGAAAGAAGTCTCTACTGAAAGTTTATCACTGTCAGGTGCATATCCACTGAAGAGGAATGGGGACTGCTTACTCAATCCTCTCTGCAATGCCACAAAAGAAATCAAATAATGGAGAAAGTACTATACACATGAAGTTATCACTAAACCTCGGAATCTTTAGTGAAGCTTTTGGGTCTGATAAAAAAATGGCACGCTGATTTTGATTAAAATGGTATTTAGTTTCTGAAGCACCACTGGAGATTACTTCTCCCCACAAAAACTATTAATCACTACTCAGATCAGTAAGAACACAGATATTCAAGAGATATTTACTTTTCTTAGGTCCGAGGGACAACATCCAAATTTGGGAAAGGTCTGTGTTGAAAAAGAAACTATCTTCATTAGTCTTGTTTAAAAAATTATCTACATTTACTGAAACCAGAGAATATTAGAAAAGATGTATTGAATAAGCTAGGTTTTTTCAGATTGCATATTTGTTTGGCTTGTCCTGTAATGTTTCATGGTTCTGGCAACTTGGGCCAGTTGCCCAGATTGCGTACAGTTGATTCTGTACGATGTAAATGGCTCCACTGTCATGAAGAAACTATTCTGTGCAGTAAATGTGTATGCAAATATTGGTCGGATATTTGCATACACATTTACTGCACAGAATAGTTTCGTCATGACAGTGGAGCCATTTACGTCGTACAGAATCAATCTCATGTACAGCTCTTTTCAGGATCAAGGTCCGTCTTTACACTCAGGGACCAATAAACATGCACATTGGAAATCACACTGCATTCACTGACACCGCTCGTATTGTAATTGTATGTGTATATGAATATCTTCTCTCAAATAAACCCAGGCATTAAATTCATCTTCTCTCCCAATTTATGCCCCTTCTTGGCTTTACAAGACCAGAAAGACTTTTGCTGGAAGTGATCAACACTATAAATCAGATTACTTTCCTTCCAACTGACTCTTCAGGATCAGTTCTATTTCTGAAATAAGTAGACTTTAACAAACAGCCATGAGATTCATCAGTCAGATTCAAAACTCTCCTCAAAAAGAGAGAGGAGTGGGGATGCTAAGAACTGCTGAGAAGATGGTTGAGGCCGTGTGGGGCAAGATTGTGGCTGAGCTGTGGTGGCCACAGCAAGGGTCTTTGTACCCATCCTGGTGACTTTATTGAGGATTCCCTGCATTTCTGAAAATAAAGCAGGACTCTCTATGTTTTAGAGACTATATAATTTTATCACAGGCAAGAAAAAAATTAGCATGTAATAAAAATGTTTTTGCCGGTTTTAGTGAAAAAAATAAAATCTGATAAATCCTATAATCCTAATTTTCATGCTCACAGTTTGGAACAAATGAGGATAATCAGGCGAATTCAGGGGCTTTTCAATATAAACTACTGTCGAAGTCCTCTGCACTGGTATTACATGTAATTCAATAGGATAATCTCTGCAGCATCTATTCCTGGGCTTAACTTATTTCTTCTGTCTTGCATCCCACTATATTTTCTTTTTGCAAAAGGAGGCCAAACAGTTCTGTATTGCTTACTGGCTTTCTGTATCTTTCCCTTAATTTGTTTTGGAGGCTGACTGTCAAACCAGAAATTGACCAAGTAAATAAGCTACTGGATGTAAAGTGACTGTGAAAGACTTAATCAGATACATTGATGAATTTTATTAGCAAAAATGCTTTGAAAAGGACACAAGAGTCTCACCTCATTCATACAGCCAGCAATAGCTGGAGAGAAAGATGAATTTATTATGACCAGAGTGGCATATTTACAGTATGGATACTGAAATTTAGCATTCTGGTCCCCATATTATTAAAAAAAAAAATCATTAATATTGCAAGTAGTTTCTTGATATATGCAACACCTTAAAACAAAGATGGATCATTTACAATCTGCATCTGACAGGATCATATAAACTTAAATTTTAAAAAAGGAAACAAATCTATTTGATCAAGTAGTACTTTCCCTCTTCAGACTATATAATTTCCCATTGTTTTTAAAGCAGATTTCCTTGTTCCATAAAGAAAAAAGTCCATACTGATACTGTAGTTTTGAGGGTGACAGATATCTGAAGTTACTTTTTTATATTCTGTGTGTTGCTTACAAAGTCCTATATAAGCAAGACTCTTGCAAGTAGCCTTACCCCTGCTTAAAGGATTAATTTGCAGTCCTCTAAATCCATTAAATCAAATTCTAATTAACTTAAAGTCAATATTCTTTAGGCCTTGCTTATTCTACAAAACAATCATGTTTAAACATGGTGGTGAAATACATTTCTCTTAGTTGTCTGAATAGACAAAAAATAATGTGTTAATATGATATGTTTTAGTAAGCCTAGTGCAAACCTAATCTGCAACATTGATATTAATTGAAGTGCTCTTGGAATGAGGTACTGCTCTGCATGAATTAAGGTATCAGACGGAGTCATATTAACTAAATACAGATAAGATTTGAATCCATAATATTTCAAAAGTCTTGTTTTGATAGAATTTTTAGTTGTATTCCATGCTTTCAAAAATGATTTTGTATGAGGTTTCATTACAGATATTCCCTATGGAGAGGAACTTTTTACAAGGGTATATGGTGTAAGACAAGGGACAATGGATTTAAACTGAAAGAGGTGAGATTTAGATTAGATCTAAGGAAGAAATTTTTCACTCTGAGGGTGTTGAGGCACTGGAACAGGTTGCCCAGAGAAGTGGTGGATGCCCCATCCCTGGAAGTCTTCAAGGTCACAAGGTCAGGTTGGATGAGGCTTTGAGCAACCTGATGTAGTGGAGGGTGTCCTTGCCCATGGCAGGGGAGGTTGGAACTAGATGATCTTTGAGGTCCCTTCCAGCCCTAACCATTCTATGATTCTATGATTCTATGATTCTATGATTCTATATTTATTGAGTTGCATGTTTTCTGTATGGAACTACTGGTATAATTACATAAAACTTTAGAATTTTAGAAAAAAGAACCCTCCTCCATCTCGTAAATATGCAGCTAGATATTTCAGAGTCAACGAGTGAACATCACTGAGTGTCAGGGTTTGGCACTGACGATATATGATGTTTGAAAAAATTCCCCTATGCCACACGGAGAAGAATTACAGTCAGAGCAGTACTCTGCTGGGGTAAAAAGAGTATTCCAAAGCAGTACAATATATCCACTAACAGTTTTGTGAAGAAATATGAGAGTTCAAACTGGATACTGAAAAAGAGAAGGATTTTTCCTAATACTAAGATGAGATCACAAAAGAAACAAACATTTTGTTCCACAATTGTTTTGAATTTTGTAAACAAAAACTGCATGAGGGAAAATGAGAAATCAAGATATAAAATACAAGAATCGTAATTAAATAATGTATGAAACTGCTGCCTATAGCATCACTTTCTATATTGTGTATTTTTTTCAAGTCAGTAGTTATACTGCTGCATTAATATATGCTAATTTGAATATTTGACATAACATATCTCACTTAGAAAAACTTAATG